AATGTTAATGAAATTTGGCAGTTTATCAGTAAATATTACAATGTTTTCATATGCAAAATATCTAATTTTTCTTATCAAGTCTTAAGGTTTGGAAAGCAATGTTCCTCTCGTTCCTTCTTTTTCTTTTCACATCTTGCCTATATATCATGCAAAGTAATTTTAAGATTAAAAATACTTTTATGCATCAGAAAATTTTGAAATTGCACATGCAAAATCTCCATAATGTCTAGATAGTTATCAAACATTTCTTAAGAAAAAAAAACTATATTTTATCCGTTATTTTCAGTAATTAATCTCTGTACAGGTTCGGGAAATTTGACCAAACTCACAACCACCATAAAAAAAATTAGGAAAAAAACAAGTTATGCCTCTTTCATTCTAGAATAAACACAAATTATAACACAAAAACATAAATGTTTAGATGAAATAGCTTAAATTCATAACATTATACATTTATATATATTTATTATTTTTATTATATTGACCTTTCACCCTTGCCTGGCTAAAAATACAGAAGTTACAATGACACGGCTCATGTGCACTCATGTTATCGTATCAAATAACATAAAGGTGACCTTTGGTCTGTACAAAGTAACTTGTCTTGGCTGTGTTTTACTCGACTAGTATTTTGTAAAATACAGTCACATTTCAATTATTATACATTATATATGTATATAGATTATTGCTATTTTGAAATAACTTCTTAAAGTTATTTATCTTATAACACAGAACAGTAAATAAAGAATTAAAGCAAACAGTTATCTCTTCTAGTTACGATCTTTGTACTCTGTTGCTGCAGGTTGCTAAGCCTTTAAAAATTTTGCACATGGAGGACATCAAACAATTTTTCGTTTTTGTTTTATATATACTTTTGAATAACTAAAAAATCATAAATTACTACATCAATAACATAGAATTGTATTATAATTTATCAAGCTTAGTAACTAAGCTGTATTTGGGTAGGAAAAATATGAAATTTCAAGCAGACTAAAGACACAACCTACTTCATTGAAATCTTGGTTTAAAAGAAAGAAATGATGCTAGGTACATTAGAAAGGCTAAGAAAACCATTAAGGGGACATTCTGAGCTTCCAATTTGTTATTCATGTCATATACAGAAGTAAGTGTATATAAAAATGGAAGGAGGTGAGAAGGGTTCCACTATGTTTGATTTATTACGTAAGCAATATCTTAGCAAACAGAAAAGATAATATCTTCTTATTTTATATTCTAGCTTGTCAGTATCTGTAATTTGAGTTTCTAATTCATATGAAACTATAGACTTAGTATTTTGACTTCACAAACATCTAATTTGAACCAGTTCTGCATTCAACATAATACGTGACACACAAAAATCAATGTTTATCTGTTTTTTCTAATATTTACTTTTAAATTAACAAATTTTGTAATGTATAGTTCTAAAATTTGAATTATAATCTACAGTTTGAAACCAAACTAATTGACATAAATTCATGAAATAGTAGTTCAATAAAATTTTGAGTGCAAGTCAACAAACGAGATGACATGGCCTATCTCCTATGACTTATCTTGAAAGGGTTAAGCTATGTTTAGTATTTAAGTCATCATTTAGAATTAAAAACTTTTTTAAACCAAAGAGACTACCCATTCCCATGCACTCCCTGTGAGTTATATATAAATACACTTGTGGTAGCTGTAAAGCTACCTATATTGGTAAAACTACACGTCACCTACAAATACGTGCAAACAAGCACATGGGAATTTCAGCAACAAGCAGATATATGCTAACTAATCCACCTGAGTCTTGTATCCAACTGCATACTTCTTGAAAACTTTAAAATTCTCAACCCTGTAGCCACAGATTATGAACTCTATATTAAAGAAGGCTTTCCATTTTCAATGATCACTCATCACTAAATAATAACATCAACTCATTCCTGTTGTCATTAATTTAATCAACTCCAGATTACTATTTGGTTACTATCATTATTATTATTATATTAAAGATGCAATGCTTATACTTATATTTAAGTTTTCTTCATTATGATTTCTCTTAATGTTATTACACAAATGGCACACGTTTTATCGCACGTTCCAGTATACTTTTACCATTTAAATCTGTTCTTTTTTAAATTTTTCATTGTATAAAAACTACTTGCTTAACAGCTAATGTTTTTTTGCAGTTAGAATATTGTGAACCAACTTTTTTTGAGGTTTTAATGCCGATGATGGAATTTGGAGCAATTCCAAAGCATCCGGAAAGATGTTTTTTGGTATTAACAAATTTTAATGTTTATTACAAAACTTTCCACCAGATGAATCAGTTGGTAGACAAGTGTTGGAAGCACATCCATTTTCTGGTATACTTGTACTCAACTTTCTACAAGTCTTACTTTTATAAAGACTATTACAGTTCATACATTCTACACTATAAACTACTTCTTTCTCAACTGTAATTAGTTTAAATGTATTCTGTAGAATTGCATTCAACTTTTTTCCTGTTAAAAGATAAACTTGTCCACAATTGGAAGTCTAATACATTTTTTATTCCTTGCCACATTCTTTTTATCATGGTTGATAAGCCAAGTATATAAGGAATAATATAATAATCCAAACCATCTGAATGTGTATTTTCTTTTTTTTCTGTCAACATATCAGTACTTACATATTTTAACCACAATAATTCCTTTTATCGGCACAGTTTCATGATAACGTATTTCTTCATACAGTTTTTTTTTTTTTACTACAATTAACCTTAGCTACAGCCAATAAAGTTTTTATAATCCCTATTTTTAGTGTATGAAATTCCTCCAGTATTTATAATACAAATATATTTAAATTCTCATAAGGTCATACCTGGTACAATTGGCAAACTAAAAGGCAAGCTACCCAAACACAGTGTAGTAAAGCGTTAGATGCTATCCAAAATACCCAGCCACTGAGTGAGGAGATCTGCCACAGATAGTTCGAGAAACTGACGTTGTACCAGGATACTGAGGAGCTCCAGTCTGAAACAAAAGATAAAATAATCCCATAAGATAGAGTAAATTAACTTTTCATATATATGAGTCACATCATGCAAAGAAGTAAAAATTCTACGAAATAGCTACAAGAAGAACTAGAACCTCTGATAAAAAAGAAACTACACAATTAGAGAGAGCGCAAGAGAGAGAGAAAAAAAAACCTAGAAAATTCATTTTATTTTATGAATATTTTCAAATCTCATGGGGGTTAAAATGGAAAAATACTTCCAATGTGTTAATCTGCTATCACTAGATATTATCCAAATAATATCACTGAAGGCAATCAGACATTAAAGTTGACAAAGACTAATTAAAGCACAGCAAAACAATTATACTACTAAGAAGAGTATCAAGTAGTTATTCTGATTACTCCTTAATTTCACACTAATAATTTCTTTGAAAAAAAGGAAATCAAGAGTTATTTTTCTGTAAATTCAGTACTCAGTGCTTGAACACTGAGCAATTGTAGTAAATTTAGTCTAGAAAGATATCTAGTTATTATTAGCATAACTAAATTATACTTGGTTGTAGCTAAATAAGAGTCAAAGTAAACATCCAGACGAATTACACAAGCTGGGCATTATGATAGAGCTCTGCAAGAAAGTTAATTCATTTTTCTTTAATGGTGCTTGAATGTAAAAAAATAACTGGAAAAACTGACTACACATAAAAGATAAAAACAAATAAACTTTATAGCTAAGAAATAACAATAAAAACTCAAGTTTTAAAATTAAGTTTGTACTTAGAAAGAGAAAATAATTAAGAATTTGTCTGTTTGACAATGAACAATAAAAGAGAAAACTATTCTATTTGGAACTGAACAGAAAACACTAAGAAAAATTTAATAACCAACAACAATAGACTGGCAAGGGGAAAATCAAGCCTTGATTTTTGAAATTTTTTGTTAATACTTAGGATTCATAAATTAGGTATATATATATATATTTTTCTATCATTTTAAGACTATATTTAAGATCTTTTTAGTGGTATGATTATCTAAAACTTCTTTTACAACTAAAGAAAATCCTATTTAATGAAATTTTCAAATTAAGCCAAGCATACATTTGTCTATTCAAAGTGTAAAAATAACTCAACGTTCCAATTTGAACTACTTTTTTCTTGGTTTTATTAAAAAAAATTGTGTAGTCATACAGTTTTGTATGGAAAAACTTATCCAGCTAATTGCCAAAATTTTACCCATATGAAATACACAAAACCTCTTTCTCTAGTGAAAAAATAATTAATAAGATCATTATCAATAACTTCTAAAAACAAGTAGGTAAAAAGTTGTCAAACTAATATAAATCAAAATGAAGCATTACATCATTGAGCTTATTTGATTCAAGTACAAACAAACTATATTGTTGTAGACTTCAATTGTTTAATTTAGACATTTGTACTGTTTGTTTGCTTTTCTGTATAGAGGGAGCTTTAATTTCAATAATGAGTATGGGATTTAAAGTCTGGAACCTTCTTGAAAGTTTACAAAAGTATTTGAACAGTATAACATACAAGTTAGTTTAAAGTAGATAACAAATGATTATTGAATGTATTACAGTGATGAATGATTACTGAGTTAGCAAATTTGCTAGTCAGTTCTTCTGTTACTTCAATGTTGTAAACACAGAGTTTGTGTTTTAACAAAGTTTTAGAGATACAAGACAGTACTGTGCTTGTACCAGAAGACAGCAGGTGAGTAAAATTGTTGGTTAGCAGTTACTGCAAGTGTAAACATAGGCCTATCAATAAACATTATTAAATCTAACTTTTATAATTTGAAGTACAAAAAATAAAACACTTTTCTTATCATTAAGTAGACTGGACTTTTCATTATTTACACACATAATCCAAAAGATCCCATTCAACAATATAAACCATTTCAACATTCGTGTCAGAAGTGGGATTATTTTAGTAAAAATAAAAAATGAAAACCCAACTTCAAAATAATGACACATGCTCAAAGTAAGATAAAAATGTGATTGATGGAAATGATGAAACAGTTGGAAGACAATCATGAAGAAAGTGACAGAATATTAAAAGATGATCAAGAAAAAAAGACAAAAATGAAAGAACACCAAAAAGCATGAATCATAAAATTAAAAGATGACAAAATAAACAGAAAATTGGAAGAGACAGAGAGTTAAGAAAGTAATTACAAGAATAAGACATAAGATTTCCAGGAGAATCAGAAACAAAAATCATTATGATCAAAGAAGCCATAGAAAATGTACAGATTGATGTTGAAAAAGACATAGTAGATGTACAGAAGGATTATAACAACAAGACTGAAGAAGCTGTAGGTTGTATACAAAGACATCAAAGAGGCAAAAACAAACACATCAATTCCAAGATGAAACATCTATAAATTGAACAGGCAAATGCAAGGATCACACCAGCCACATCAGCTCAAGAACTTCGACCTAAAACACTTTTAACTATGCAATGTGGTATAGAACCAACCTGATTTACATCTCTTACCACTACCATTCTGCCACCTGTGACTGCAGGTGCTGGATTACTTCACCTATACCACTACTTCATTAAGTGATGAAGTTTAGTAGACAAGTTCAAAACACTGCCCAATCTAGAAATTAACAGATTACAATGGAAAGGTACCATGGAAGGCATATTAGGCACAGGTTTAAATAATTTCTAAGGTGAATAGATGGAGTAGAAAACAACAATGTATTTATTTTGATTCACATTTAAAAAAATAGTTTTAATAACATTAAGCAACCTTCCAACAGAGAGCCATAACACTTAGAGAACACATTGTAAGGAAGCTTCTAAAGCAAATTTTTGGAACACAGTAGGGATAAAAGAAAAAGCCTCAACTGAAGTTGAGGAAGATTTGGAAAGACTTGCACAGTTATTTTATTCAAATGCTCCACATGAAATGATAGATTCATTTGCACAGAACAAATTCCTGGATGCCATAGCGAATGAGGATATATGAATTAGGTTCAGTTGGTGATGAAACCTGAATCAATTAAGACACCATCCAGAAATAATAAGATTATCAGATCCAATAGTTTAGAAACATCAACTCTATCTAGAAGTACTCAATGTATTAATAAGACAAATGTTTTACTTAGAATGGAAGAGGTAAGCCACGAGGAAGACATTTCAGTTGCAGCTTGGAAGGGCATATTGCCAAGAACTGCAGACAAAATCCTTTAAAAGATAAAAATTGCTTCTGAAAGATGACAGATTCCTTCTTTAAGTGTGGTGTGCAAAACAGTTATTACATCCAAAACTGTGATGATTCAGCCAATGATAATAAACCAAGGAACCAATTTCCTGAAGATGAGAGTACTCCATGTACCCCAGATGAAATACAGTACATTATATAAAAAAATCAGTCCACAAGTCAATAGATTCAACATGATAAAACTTTGTTGAATGGACAGCAACTGCCTGTTGTAGAAACACAAGTGTAGAGGATGATGTTTTGAAAGTCTCCCGTTTTTCATCTTCGGGTCAGTGTATATGGTGTAGTTGTCTTTATAGTATTATGGTGGATTGTGGAGTGTGTGTTACGATTGGTTGGTTTATCCCTGTTTCTGATTGGAGGAGAGATTTCCTGTAGATTCAATCAATGGTAGCCACAGGTTACTCACCTCTCATCCAGTATCTCTGTTTAGTTAAGGATTAATTGTGTTAATATAAAATGATTCTTTAATTCTTCCAGTACTATCATCCAACCTCAATAAAACGTGGAATAATCCAATGCCTAAACAAGAGAGCAGAAACGATTTGCGATAAGAAATCCATCAAAGCAGAACGCCAAAAGATCGTAGTCTTTTAAACAGAATGGTTACACCTCCTTCTTCATCAAAAACTCCCTGAAGAAGACCACAACAGAAAGAAAAGATCTTAAAAACACTACCGTACTCCAATTAACCTCCCCTACCTGCAAAATTTCATTGAAAAACTCAAATGCATAAAAAACAACTATCAAAAAAGATTTGGTGACTGGACGGTTTAAGGATAGTAAATGGGTAAAGAAATATTCTGTTTTGTTGACCCTATAAAGTCCAGTGGCAGATATACTGCCACCTCTGACCTTGCATTATTAGAAATTAATAACTCATAAATGTCACCATTTCTGAGACACACACACTTAAAACGCATATCATGATAAATATGTCTTTTTAAAATATAAAGTTGATTTTTTTTGTCAAATTATAATTCATATTACAATAAAAACTACTTCCTAACATAGCTGTTTACTACATTTTTATGCATGACCCATGTAACTTTTGACCTGAAAGCTATAGATATACTATAGTATGGTTAATGACACCATGCACTAGGCTCCTTTGTTTAAAGAAACGGTTAATTAAAAAAACACATAAAGCGTTAAAGCTAACATAAATAGGTTGTATTTATCTTAACCTATTTTATACATAAAACTTATCTATGCTCTCCTTTTACAAACTTATGTGCATGTGTTCAAAAAAGTCAACGCTCCCTCACAGTCTCCACCTTCACCCGAGTGGCTAAATATAATGCTTGCATTCATGATGCCTTAAAGTTACAACCCTCGTGAGTTCTTGCAAACAAAAAATTAACTGTAAACATAATTACTTCAATAAAATAAATATACATGGAGGGAAACTCATTAAGTGAATTTATTACCTTTCTGTGGTACAGAACTAATAGAAAACCATTACTAACCTACAAGAACTACAGACAAAATTCTGTAGAAAAGAAAAAACTGCTTTGCAATTTAATGCATCTACACAAAGTAGGAAGGGAGCTCTATAGCAAATAGTTTGCAAAAAATAAAATAATCTCAGTTTTCAGATATATTTACAATTTTACTAGCTCCAGAAACTTGTAAAACAAAACTTGCAGAAAGCTGAATTTTTACAGTTAAAAAATTCACTGTTTTAAAGCTGTTTGAGCTAACTGGTGAGTTGCATCTGCTCAGATAGGAAATTTAAAAATTTTTATCATCTCAATAAGAATTACAACAGGAGGCAAAAGCTGAAAATTATAGCTAGTAGTTTCAAATTTTTTTTAATTGCTATATCCAAAACAAATGTTAAATCAAAATGAAATTTAATGTTATCATTTCAGTTATAATTATATTTTGAATGTAATTTGAGGGATATATCGCAGAATTTTTCAAAACTTGATATCATTTTGCCCTCATAAAAACTTGAAATATCACTATAGAAAAGATTAATCAAAAGTTTTGTTGTACTTTGTTTCACATATTTAATTAATGACTTATTAATTATAATGTCTATATCTATGACTTCTAATGTTGCTATTTGTCAATAGTTGCTTTATTGTTAATTATGGCAATTTAAGTTTAATGTGCTGTTATTTTCATTGTGTAACAGGATTGTTCAAGATACTTCACCATCTAGGGTGGGAGGAGTGTTGCAGGCTAGGTTTTGTTAATTCTTTTTCTTTTCTTTCTTTTTGGTCAGAGAAAGGTTTTAAGACACATGTACATCATGTGGCTTAACATCTAGAATCTTCTTAAAAGTTTAAGAAATGAGTTTAACTGTTTAAAATGTGAGTTAAGTTAGAGTGGATGATGACTGGTTAGAGAATGTAAAAGTGGATTTATTATTGAGTTAACAAGTTTTCTAGTCAGTTTGTCTCTTACTTCAGCAATGTGAATATTGAACTTGCATTTTAATGAAGTATTAGGTATATAAGAAAGTGCCATATGTACCAGGAAATGTAACAAATAAGTAAAATTGTTGCTTCAGTGTCTATTGTGAACTTATTATTAATTGGATTGGACTTTGCATTACTTTTTTACAGAATGATCCAAAAGAACACACCCACCAACAAAAACAATTACACCAATGTCTAAACGTAAGCCTAAGTTAGTTACTACACTAAAGCTTAACAAAATGAAACTTTAGGGTCAAAATCAAGATTAATTACAAGCAGAGCAAGAATTACAAAAAATAATATATATTTAATAATCACATGGTTACGACGCAATGCTTCATTACATAGACACCCTTTAATGTTAATGTTTGGTTTGTTTTTTCAGTTGTTTTGGTCTTAGAGATTTTCAGATATAATGTAAAAGTAGATTTGTCTCTTACTATAATTTTTTTAGCAAAATCAACTGTTAAAAGTTTAGGTATTTTAGGTACATTTGACATATAAAAGTACTGTTCAGGTACTGAAAAACAATTCAGTAAATTTACATATTTTCATAAATTACCTAATGCAAAATGTCTGAAAAAAAATCACATAGAAAGCTCATTTTAGATCGTGATAACAGAATCACTCATAATTACTTACATGAAAAACATCCATAAAGGCACCAGCAAATCATGATCAAGAGAAAAAATAAATAGCCAACAAAGTATCGATGATTTCCTGACCCTAGATTATTAAAAAGATATGAAAAATGTTACGAAATGTGGCTGAAGATCTAACTAAAAACTGGAGCTCATATATTTAAAATGTTTTTTTAAACTACCCACAGCATTGATTATTGCTTTTTTTTCATCATCAAGACTTAAGATAAATATCAAAAAACTTAAATTAGAAAGCTGATTGTGAAGTCTTTCTTCAGTACTCTCACAAACACAAACAAAAAATAAATAAGGTTTTCATAATGGAATTGTTAGTATTTCAAAACAAAATTAGTGCTTTGATATAAATTGTCCTCAAACATAAAAATCTTTTCAAAAATGTTTGGAAAAAATAAAACATGTTTACAATATATATAACCTTTCAACTTTGAATGTGTGCATAAAGACAACATATAACATACAGATTTTATGAAAGAAAGCCAGTAACAAGAGTTCTTTAGATCACTGAAGTTACCCTACTGGAGTACACTGTTCAATTCATAAGTATTATCCAGAGAAATTACAATTTAAGGACAAAAATACAAAATTAACATTATTGGCCATCAGCATATTTTTTTAGATAGAAAAAAAAAAGTCTGACAAGACCAAAATGTCTGGTTTACAGAATGAATTACCTCTTTATATTTATTCTTTTACAGTGAATTTATTTTATACATTAAAACAAGCTTAAATTTCTACTGCAGTAGGCCACTGTGTGTGTGTGTGGTTGTTTCAAGGTGGTCAAAATATGTCAGTTAAATTACAAATAGTCATGAAAGTGGTACTTTCTGAGAACTTAATGAAAAATTGAAATTTACCCTAGATAATACCCATTCTCAGCATAGCAATAGAGTCTCAACTTAAAACATAAACTTGGACAGAAAGTTATAGAGAAACCTTTAAGAATGTTTTATTTTCTGTAACTTACCTATACAGTTTCCAACCCAAGGACAGTGATGGTCAAACCTAGCTATACAACGATTACATATTGAACAATGTTTGGAACGAAGTGGTCGACGTATTAAACACGTGCTACAGAACCACTGAGGATCAAAGCCATCCCTTTCAGCCAGCTCTATGATGGTCTAATAATTAAATCAAAACTGATTTACAAAAACATTCATATGTTTTACCTATAACTAGTTCATAAAGTATTTATCAATTAGTCTACAATGCTAATTACACTTATTTTATTATTTTGTAAGTAAGAAATACTGAAAACTATTTTTTTTGTCTTTGTATACCTGGGAAACTGGATAACATCAGATGGTAAATGTGATCATGAAATAAAATGGAGAATACGGATGGCAAAAGACACATTTCTGTTAATCAAAAAGATACTGACAAATAGTAAATTTTATGGGGATGAAATTAAGAGTTCTGGATTGTTATGTTTTACCAATTCTCACATATTCATCAGAATGATGGAAAAGAGAACTGAAGAAATTGAGCTGTAGTTCTTAAGGTGCACCTTGAAGGTATGTTGGACAAGTCATACCTCAAGTGAAGATATTTTGTTAAGAGCAGGCTGCAGGAGAGGAGGCTGTTGACTATCAGAAAAAGATAGTTGGAGTTTCTTGGATATGTTATGAGGAAAGAAGAAATTGAAATATCTGATCGTAACTGGAAAGACTGAAGGTAGGAGAGACTGTGGAAGACAGAGATTGACTTATGTCAAGAGTTTATCTAAATAGGTGAATGTATCAACATTAGAAGTTCTTTGTGCCTCAAAGAGATGAGATCTGTGGAAGACCATGGTCACCAACATACTGTTTAGATATGGCACATAGAGAAATACCCTAATAACTATAAAATTATCAACCAAACTTAAAAAAATTAAATGTTCAGATGATTTAGAATATAAATGATTATTTCTAGATCAAATAACATGATGGTTCATTGTTAGTAATCAAATTTTAGCATCTTATGTCCCCTTTTCTTTATAATGAAAAGTTTTTTAAAAAATCTATATTTGTACACCTTACCCTTTCCTTCTCCTGCATATCTGAATGAATAAGTCCCGGGTCTGCTCTCCAGGACTTCCAGAAGCAATAGAATAGCAAAAAGGTCACAGACATGAATAACGAGGTTATCCAAAAATACCCAACATCTGATATATGATTAAGGATAATAATACCATTTCCCCTGTAATATAAACCCTCTTTATGAAAAGAAAAAAAACAAAATAAATAAAAATCCTTGATCCTCAAAACAATTTTCCAACTGCAAACAAATGGATAATTCATTTGTCTTTAGCCTTTTTGTATAGGTAAACATTGAACATCTAAAATGAAAGGAAAACGTAATTATGAAATACAAAAGTTCTTTCAGATTTCTATAGTAAGTAGTAAAACCGTGGGTATAGTCCTATCCATACTTTCCAATATCTACAAATCAAAACTCTCATTAGGCTTATTTTGTGCTAATTAATAATTTTTTCAGAACAAAACTTCTCAAAAGGTTGTTGAGCAACCCTAACAAAGTAGAAATAACACAATAAAACTTCTGAACAGGTTTCAAGCAAATCTAACTAAGCAGAAACACCAGTTATCAACAACAACCTTATATATTGTCAGTAAAACTACATCAACAATAACCTTGAGATTGTCATTGAAACTATATTAACAATGACCTTAGAAACTGTGAGTGAAATTATATCAACAATATTAGTCACTGTCAGTGAAAATATCTCAACAATAACCTTAGACATTGTTTGCATAGATAATGAAAGCAACATTCAAGGACCAAACTGTGATTTTCAAGGACCTTTATATTCTATATATAGTTTTGAAACAGCTACTTGTGGGAATATAGATATATTTCAGTGAAAATAGCTATTTCAAAATTTTATATATATGTTCCATAATTAAGTGGATACCTATTTGTTTGTTCTTAAGCACCAAAGCACAATGGACCATCTGTGCTGTGCCTATCATAAGTATTGAAGCCTTGTTTTTTAGCATTTTTAAGCCTTCAGACTTACTGCTGAGCCACTAGGGGCAAATGGGTACCTCTTAAAAGTTATAATTTTTTTATACTGAAAATGTATTTCCGATAGGTACGAACATACTCTCACAGATATAGCTATTCTCATTCAGTGCTGCTCTCTATACGAAAACATTTTTTCATATGCCACAAGCCTTGCACTCCCATATTCCCCATGATCATCATTGTTCAACTGCATCTCGCATGCAAATTATCATCGACAACAACCCTCCACCAGTAGGAGTGTGACACACCCTCCACCAGTAGGAGTGTGACACACCCTCCTGATTCATGTGACTCCCTCTATTCAATTCTACCAAATTATCACTTTGAGTTTTGGCAGAAAATGGAGGAACTGGCTTTTAGTGGGGAGAAAGGGTGGGAGGAGGTAATTACCTAACGGAAATGCATTTTCAGTATAGGAAAATTATAACTTCCAATACAGTAAATTACTACTTCTTACAGATATAGCTAGAATCCCACATTGAATAGGTGGAGGGACAAGTGCAAGGGATACAAAGAATCATCCTTCAAAAGCATCAGAAGAATAACCCTGAAAGTGAGATCCTTGTAGTAGAGGACCATATGTGGGAGACCACACCACTTCTGTACCATATATACTCTATGCCAGTGTGGAAAGGTGTCACAGCCATTGGGGGAAAATGGTAGGAGCACATCCAAAAGGGAGAGAAAAATGGTTGGATAGGGATCCAAACCAACTTATATCGGAATCTCAAACCCTTCAAAGAAACATCAGAGAAGTAAATCTCTACAGACAGTAATGTGGGTGAGAGTAAAAAGGATGTGCCCCAAGATGTAGAGTGGCTAGAGCACGGTGGACTGTACTCGGCAAATCAACTGCATCCAAAACCAAGCCACTGGGAACCAACCTCCATTTGGGGGTAGAATGAGGATCATACCATCAGAATGTGGGGGTAGGAAAGAGGATAATACTGGTGGCAACTCAACTGCAGTCCTAAACCCAGCTATCAGGTGGGGGAAGGAAAGAGGATCATACCTTCTACACCTCAAGCAGACCAGTTGGAAATATCCTGCCCACCAATCTGTGAACAGGGCACATGTGAGCAAATTGATAATAAATTACCGATTTGAGAACCCAACATCCAGACAATTGGAATAATAAAGATGTCCCTGTATTGTGCAACACCCCACTCAAAACCAATCAGATAGGAACCACTCCCAGCACAGTATCATCCTCGGTATATGTAACTCTTCGAGGGGTAGTGCAAAAGGAAGAACCATAGCAACCTACATGTTCGGCCACCGTGATCCACAATATGTCAGCAATAAACATGAGACAAACTGAGTGAGGGAACAGACACACCAGTAATACATGTGTGATGACTTATGTCGATTGGTCCTGCTCTGAATCCAAAACCCACCCACTAGGAACTGACATCCATGTAGGGGTAGGAAGAGGGATCTTAATCGAAGGGGTGAACTGCAATTTTAATGACTCACTCCAAAGCTACAACATCCCTGGGATAGACCCATTCAAAGATCAAGTGTCAGATTGGAGGACATCTTGTCATCTACACCAGCAAAACACCACTACCCTTCTCTCAACTGAATGGATTCATTATTGTTTGTATCTATCGTGTATTACTATCACATTCAGGAGGATGCCTCCATGGTCCACCACCCCAGTGGCTTGAAACTGGAAAATGGTAAGGACTCCCATACTCCACTGGAAGAAAAAATGAGGGAAGAAAATGCAGTGGAGAGCCTGGAGGAATGTCAACACTGGAGACAGTGCAACAGGTGACCACAAAAACCATATTTTTAAAAGCAGACCACTCCTGATTTATTCAATCTAAGGAATGACAGGGATGGGCAGCTATCCCCTTCTGCTTTAACCTATGAAGTCCATGGGTGAGTATGATCCATAATGGGCTATGGAAATTACAATTGTTAAGCCATCATGGCTATACAATGCAGATTGGACTAGTTTAAGTACACCTAGACAGGCAATATTCACCAAAAAAAGGGATCCTTGAAGAAAAAAAGGGACATGCCCCTGTAAAATATAAGGTAAATACAGAAAAAGGTAACTTATACAATTACAGTCTCATCGAAGAGTGAAGGATAGCGACAGGTGGAAGACAGTACTCCGATGTGAAAGAAACAGCTACCCAAAGCAGATAATGGGAGATAAACATACGAGGTGTAGTCCCATTGCTGAACGGAAGAAGTGCCTCCAACATACAACAGGGGTGAGATGCAGGTAAAAAGTAAGGTGCCTGATTGGAATGAAGACATCAGAAATTGATTACGAGAAGAAAGAAAGAAGGAAGAAAAAGCCAATCAAATCAAAAGCCAAATTCAATTGGTAAAGGAGGAAGAAAAAAAATCATGAACAGAGGAGTGGTGCCAGAGAATGAAACTACGGAAAAGGGAACCAACAGAAAGAAGCCTTGAAGGCAATGAAGCAACCAAGAGGATGTATGGAACATAGAAGGCCACCTGGATCTGACCAGGAATAAAGGTGGGAGATGGAAGGAAATGAAAAAGATGAAAGGAAGAACATTCCACATGAGCCACTAAAATGTAGGTGAGGAAAAATTGATTCAGAACAAAAAGAACAAATTGAACTGAAGCAGATAAGAAAACCAGATTTGTTCCAGCTAGGAAGGAGTAATCAGAAAGACCTGACACCGAGTGGCATGAATAAACGAAATCACCTGGGGAAGATGATAGATGAGATGAGAAAAATAAAGGTATAAACTGGTTCCAATCTTGTCTGAATGCATAGACAGCCAGGGCAAATGGATGAGGAAATAGAGACCAAAAACACAATGAGGTAACCTTGAATCAAGGAAAGAGGCAAATGCATTCCTCTGAGGAGTACTCCACTGGTGGCAGAATCACCGTAAATTTTTGAGGATCGAGAGACCATTCTATGGAATAAAGTGTGTCAGGACTGAAACAGCAATCCACAACAAGATTGAAAGCACTTGGAACACAACATGCCAGGAGATATACATGAAGTGTGGGCTCAAAAAGGGAGATCGAAGGTCGAACACAAAGGGAACTAGAAAGGGTGCCCCCTAGGTGAGTGATACAAGCCACTACTGTCAAATTGTCGGAATGTATCATGATTAGTCGAATCCTGACAAGAGGAAGAAAGTGAATCAAAGCACATTGGACTGATATAAGTTCCAGGGTGTCAACATGGCAAGATCTTTCAGATGTATACCATTATCCTGAAGCCTCGTGTTGATCGACCCCATGGTGAACAAACCTAAGATAGCGTCACAAGGGATGAAAAATAGGAATGTGGGTACAAGAATATGAAATTGCCCACCAGAGTGTAATAAATGACAACACAGTAAAACGGGAAAGAACCAAGAAGTGAGTGAGGTGGGACAGATTGATAACAAAAACTCCAATATGCATCGAGAATACACGACAAGTGAAGGAACCCTTAGAGGTAGGACAGATAAATGATGAGAAGGTGCCAGACATGGAACATGAATAAAAACTGCAATGGCTCGGAATGAGACAAATGAGCAACCAAAGAAGAAAACATCGAATGCAGCATTACAGACACCCCACGTGATGCTAAAGTCACAGGAGCACCCCTCCCCCAAAAAAAACACCTCACCAGTAGATGAAGGAAAAAGATCCATCCCTAACTCCCAATTAGAAGTGAACGGTAAATGAACTTGGTACAAGACAGTGTCTCACCCCATTAGATCCTAACAGCAAAGAAGCCTGTGTGTAGGAAAAGAGCCGAAGATGACAATTGCCCCAACATGGAGGTAAAATGGGGGGAAGGTATCCCATGAAAATCCCCAAGATATAGGTGGAATGCCTCAGAAAGGAGATGTATGGTAGACAATACCTGTAGGAGAGTCAATAAGGTAAGAAGATGGCTGGAAAATGTGGTGAGGGATAAAAGGATAGGGTTATTAGGGTACAGGTTATCAGGCAACAGAGATTATAGGTGCAGAGAATCAAGAAGAAAAAAAAATCTGCCTGATGGGAAGCTAAGGCAAAATGGAGGGCAAGGCATGCAAGCACCTTCTCTCAAAAGAGAGTCAAAAAGCTCAGTCTGAACCATAATGTCTGGAAAAGGATGGGAAAAAAAATATTGTGAAATAT